CCAATATTTTCTAAGTTTCAAAGTATTTATCCATTCCAAAAAAGCACTTCATTCTTTCCATCCAACAAGTATCCATGATGGGGCAACTCATATTTTATCATTTGATTGGTGGAAAGCATTATAGTAAAGACTCATTGAAAAAGCTTGGCTCCTAAGACAAAAACCATATATTTCAAGTGACTGAGCACATCTTATCACCCTAATCTTTACTTATGTTTAAATTTTGATCTTATGTGATTGGAAAGTTAGAACTCATTCTATTTATTTACATATTTTCAGACAGGGTCTCATTCAATCACCCAGGCTGGAGTGCAGTGATGCAATCACAGCTCACTGCATTCTCTATCTCTTGGGATCAAGTGACTCTCCTGCCTCATCTCTCGAGTTGCTAGAACCACAGGCATGCACCACCACTCCCGTTTTTTTTGTTTTTTGTTTTTTTGTAGTAACGAGGTCTTGCCACAATGCCCAGGCTGGTCTTGAACTACTGGCCTCAAGCAATCCTCCTACCTCAGCCTCCTGAATAGCTAGGACTACAGGTGCAAGCCACCATGCTCAGCTATCAGTTTCTTTCTTTTTTTTTTTTTTTTTTGTAGAGACAGGGTCTTGCTATTTTGTCAAGGCTGGTCTTGAATTTCTGGCCTCAAGGAATCTTCCTTTAGTCTCCCAAAGTGTTGGGATGACAGGTGTGAGTGGACAGAGCTCATTCTAGTTCAGTACCTTTCACTTAAGAATCTAAGGCCTACAGAGGGAAATGAACTTACCTAAGGTAGTTAATTAGTTGCAGAACACAATCTCTTAACACCCACTTAAGAATTCTTTCCATTGTACTAATTAACAGTATGGTTATGTCGACTTTTAAAAATAAAGGTAAACAAACATGTAAGTTCCAGAGGCAACTAGGTTTACAGCTGACAGATTCTTTCAAGAACTGTAGGTGACTTACATTTTGGGCAGCAAAACTGCATTTTTAAGGAAAGGGAATTTATTAAAGAAATATTGCTGGCTGAGCATGGTGGCTTATGCCTTGCAATCCCAACAGTTTGAAAGGCTGCAGCAGAATTGCTTCAGGCTAAGAGTTCCAGGCTAGTCTAGGTGACATAGCAAGACCCAGTCCCTGCAAAAATACTAATAATAAAAGCTGGGCATGGTGGTACATACCTGTAGTTCTAGCTGCTCAGGAGGCTGAGGTGGGAGGATTCCTTGAGCCCAGGAGTGAGGTTACAGTGAGCTATGATGGTGCCACTGCACTGCAGTCTGGATGACAGAGACCCCGTCTCTAAAAAAAGAAATACTGCTTTTGAAGTATTTGAAAGGCAAAGACTAGTAACTGCCTTACATGCTTAAGTGAGTTTAAGGCAACTGGTATGCATTATCACACAGCTAATTTTTGCAGTTTTTTGTAGAGACAGGGCTTTGCCACATTGCCCAGGTTAGTCTCAAACCTGTGAGCTCCAGTGATTTGCCTGTATTGGCTTCCCAAAATGCTGGGATTACAGGTGTGAGCCACTGCACTGGGCCAAAGTTAATTTTTGTAATGTTACTAATAGTAGGAATTGTCTTTTACCTTAATACTTCACTTTTTAAACTAGGAAACTCAATTCACTGTTCACTTTTTATATTATTAGAAATTTACCAAGTTTTATGAAGGACCCACCATAGCTACAATGAGCTTATGATTGGTATATTTTTGTATGTGGGATGGTAGGGCAAGACTAATCTATGAAATAATCCTAATTAAGAAATCAAGGCAATTTCAATTACCATAAATATAGGGATTAAAAGTGGGAAAGTCCTTTTGGGTTGGACACATGAGGGGGAATTTTACTGTTTCATGCATCAGTTGGAAAAGTAACTGTCATTTGAGGGTGCCATGAAAATATAATTTAGTCCTCAAATAGCTCTTCCATTTATTAAATGGAATGCTATTCATTTCTTCATCTAAGAGTTGTTCTACTGGGAGAAAGAGTTTGTCAGAGGTTTCCCTCTAGCTTCAGACAGTGCTTCATTATTAGTCTCACGGGTATAACAGTGGCAGAAGGGTAACCAAAGGACTTTGGAAGTATGGAAGAAAGGGAGGCTGGCAGTGCTTCTTACTTGGTTTCCTTTAGTTTTATTTACAGAATAAAAAGCCAATTCTGAAGGGCAGGTAGAGTTTAAATATAAAGGAAAAGAATCTTCTCTTTGGGATTCAGTCATGGTAACTACATTTAGGTAATCTAGAACTAGTTGCTATTGGGAACTCAACTTGTCTATTGTCCACCAGACCCACCTTCAGGTGCTAAAAGTCCATTCTCATTAGCCATGCATGGCATCCATAATTTAGTCCTGATATATTACAGATAAAGTGAACAGTTGGCATCAAGAACCAAGATGGGTAGGGTCAGCATTAAAAAGGTCTAGTAGCAGATAGCAGGGTCCCACATAACAGACTTGGATTTAAATGCAGGAATCTAGACTCTCCAAGGAGGTTAGGGGAAAAGGACTAGAAAACAAGAATGGTTTATATTTTAAGAGGCTGACATCTTGGACAGATAATCTCATCAAGGGCTTGGACTCGGCAATCACAGGAGTCTAGTTGCCAGGCCTGAGGTACATGCTGGACACAGATATTAAGACACTGCACATCATTCTCAAACTAGGGTATAATTCTTGGACTAGCAAATAAAAAGCATTGTTTATACAATAAATTATGATACATCCTTTGGAGAATTAGTAGTTGATAGCAATTTACTCTATATTTTACATGAAAATAAAGTCATATTTTAAAGTAGACTGCCGATTTTGGGTGAATTTAGAAGTAAACAGACTTCCAAGAAATGTCCAGATTCTAATAGGGAGTTTCAGGCTGTACTTTCAAGTCACTGTTTGAGTCTTAGAAAAGTTCGGAAGGCAATGATGGGAAAAAGAACTGTCTTTGAGAAAGACATATTTTAAACTAAATTCTGCTACTTACATATGACCTAAGGCAAGCCCAGAAATGACTAAATCCCATAAGATTATTGTAAAGATTATAGATAACATACAAAGCATCTATTAAAGTACCTGACAGGCTGGGTGAAGTGGCTCATGGCTATAATCCCAGCACTCTGGGAGGCCTAGGCAGGCGGATCACCTGAGGTCAGGAGTTCAAGATCAGCCTGGCCAACAAGGTGAAACCCTGTCTCTACTAAAAATACAAAAATTAGCCGGGCATGGTGCCATGTGGCTGTAATCCCAGCTACTTGGGAGGCTGAAGTGAGCGGAGACTGCACTTCACTCCAGCCTGGGCGAAAGAGCAAAACTCCGTCTCAAAAGAAAAAATTAGCCAGGGGTGGTGGTGCACACTTGTAATCCCAGCTACATGGGAGGCTGAGGCATGAGAATTGCTTGAACCCGGGAAGCAGAGGTTGCAGTTAGCTGAGCTTGTGCCACTGCACTCCAGACTGGGCAACAGAGCGAGCCTCTGACTCAAAAAAATAAAATAAAATAAAGTTCCTTACAGATAAATAAGTGCTTAATAAAGTGACAAGGGGAAAAAACCTGGGCTAGAAGTGTGTAATCTTGTTGTCTTGGATTAGGAAAGGTCCCATGGCCTGGTAAACTGTTGAGTCTCAGGAGAATAAAAATTCAGATTAGAAGGGTGAAGTATAGATTCAAGTTTAACTGGAACATGGTTAGATACAGCATAGAACTAATATATGCTGTACACCTGTTCCTGATCATCTACTATTAGGAATTTTATATTTATACATTCACATTTAATCTTCATAACCCCTCAAAGGAGGCATAATTGTAATTTTATAGATGAAACAACTGAGGTTCAAATTACTGTACATTACAAAGTAAAGTAGGTACTTGAACCTAGTCATTTTACCACTCTGCCTTAACAGTGGTGGTGGGGGGCGGTACTCCTACTCCTTAAAATGGGAGATAAGTTTCAATAAGTGAGATTAAATAATGGTTATCTGCAGTAGCTCTTGACAACAGGAGTAACATGAATATTTAACACTGAGTTGGTGAACTGTGTTGCATGATGTGACATAGGAAGAGTAGCCCAGAGACAGGAGATCCAGTTAGGAATTTGTTACAGTATTGGAAGAACTGATTTCTAATCTAAGCTTCTCTAAAGTCTCATTAATTTATACTGTATATGGAATTTACAATAATCTATATAGGAAATGAGAAAGAAACAAAGTATCTGAAAATGCTCTTCAAACTTTCTCCTCTTTCCCTTAATAGTTCAGCCTGAATCACAAAACTATGACATTCCTCAATGACTTCTGCATAATGGCCACACTGAATTCTAGTTAATCGAACAAGTTAGCCAAAAACCTCAAAAGGGTAGCATTGTGTACACCTGCTACCATACCAATCAATGAATGTAGGAAACGCCCATTCCATTTTTTGTTGGTTCACTTTCACTAGCATTTTTTTCCTTTACTGAGCATTTAATTTTGTAAAGCCCTTTTCCAGATAATGTAGATAGAGAAGGATAAGACTCAGTAAGACTCTCTATGAGCTCAATCTTAAAAATATTGGGAACCATGAGACCATCAAGGAGTTCACAGTTGAGACAGACACAAACATTAAATACAAGTGTGAAACAGAATCAAAATAGGAAGACACAGAGAATGAAAGTACCTACAAGTCAAAGTGTTGAAGCAAACAGGAGCCTATCAGAAAGATGGGGACAGAATTATTTTTGAGACCTAAAACCATAAAACAGTGTGATATGTTTACGGAATGGCAACAAGTTCCATGGGATTGGAGAGCTGCAGGGTAGACAGGGAAAGATTGGTAGGGATTATATCTTGAACAGACATGTTAAGGGACTGGGACTCTATCTTGCGGATCATTATTTCCCAGTTATGATCATGGAACCCTTTAAAATTTACAACGTAAAGAAGAAATACCAAGAGTAACACAATATGTTTAAATTTTTGATTCTTTAGCTTTCTTAATATCTAAATAGTATAGAAAATTGAATTATTTTATTTAAAACCCCCAAATACCAGAGATGAAGTAAATCACCTTTTATTTTCATCTTACATTTGGTTATGAGACATGCAAACCCCTCCAACTTTAATGAGAACAGTGTTTTTGTGTCTTTTTATCACATATCCGCTTAATATTAGGGGTAATGTTGCTGAGTCGGATTCGCATATGAGGTGCAGCATCAAGTCTTTTCCTATATTTTGTTTTTGTTGCAGCATAATATGAAAACCCTGTTTCGCACAGGTGCATTGTAGCAAAAGGAAGAAGTATACGCACTGCACGTCTTGCAATGCATGGGTATTCCTGAATTAGGCTACTCCAAAAATCATTTAGTGAAAGTTCACTGAAATTTTGTTTCACTTGAGAATCAGATGTTAAATCAATCAGGCTCTCATAGTCCCGTGCTACTAATGAGGCTGGTTTAACAGTAACTGTAAATGGATTTCTAACCCAAGCATTATTGTCATTTGTTACAGGAAAGTATTTTAACAGAGTAGAGCGCAAACTCCTAAGGTGCTGCACAATGGCACTGCAAATATCTTTATCAACCGTAGAATTATTTTCAGTCAAAAAGTCACTGAGTGTAGGAAAACAATCAAAGTTCTCTTCTTCTACAGATGAAGCCCAAAATTCCAATTTTCTTAACAATGATGACATTTTATCAAATACTGTAAAAACCGTCACATTTTTTCCTTGCATTGACAAATTAACTTCATTTAATTTAGTAAAAATATCTGCAAGATATGCAAGTCTTAGCAGCCAAGATGAATTTGTTAAACAATCAGATAGTCGAAAAGCAGAATCCATGAAAACCAAAAGTTCACGACGAAGCTCAAAAAGTCTTACAAGAACTTTACCTCGAGAAAGCCACCTTATCTCTGTATTTAGAAGAAGTGCTGTGTGCTGAGCACCCATTTCCTCACATAAAATTTTTAGTAGTCTGGATTGATGTGGTCGAGCTTTAATATAATTGATGATTTGTACTGCCTGGTCTAGCACGTTTTTTAGAGATGTAGGCATTATTTTAACTGCTAGTGCATGTCTATATAATAGGCAGTGACTACTGGTGCTTTCGGGAGCCACATATTTTATTAAGGTGACAGCCTCGGCAATTTTCCCATCCACTGCCCTAGAAGCATCACTACAAACATCAACACATTTTTCCCATTCAATTTCATGTTTCTGCATAAAATTGTTAATACAGTTGAATATTTCTTCACCTGTAGCATTACTTTGCAAAGATTCACACAGGAGTAGGTCTTCCTCAATAGACTTATTAAACCTATAACGAACAAACACAAGCAGCACAGCAAGTCCTGAAACATCAGCTGATTCATCTAGTTGCAGTGAAAACCCATCACAAATTTTCAGTCTACAAACAAGCTCTTCTTCAATGTCAGCAGCTAGATCCTTAATTCGACGTGCAACAGTACTGTTTGATAGCTGTACTGCATCTATTTTTTTACTATATTGCTCATCAAACATCCGCATCACTACATCTTTTGCACAAGGTTTGATAAGCAATTCTCCAATAGTATGAGCCTCTCCACTCAGTGCTATATGGTAACTTACATTGTATGATGCTTCTGTAGCACTTTCATTATCTGTATTCACAATTTTAGGCGTTGGGGGTTTATTATTTTCAGGTGAATCAAGATGTTGCTTGAAAAAGCTTATGTCTTTGTCTTTATATGCAGCATGTTTAGTTTCCAAATGTCTTCGAAGCTTACTAGGTGCTAAAGAGCTATTTGATAAAATTTTCTTACATAATACACACTGAGCATGAGGTGCATCTCTATTTCCGAAGTAAGTAAATCCAAAAGACAAATAACTTTCATCATATTTTCTTCTTTTTGGTTTTTTACTAAATGTTATTTTGTTGGAACTGGATATAAATTTGACCCTGGAAAGCTCACCTTCTGATTTTTTAGAAACTGAAGGCTGCAACTGTTTATCTTCACTTTGTAATATTCCAACCTTCTGATCATTTGATTCAGACACAATCTGATAACAGAAAGATTCCACTTCTTGTTTAAGACTTCCTTGTTTCAGCAACAGATCCATGGGCGATGAGTTTGTGGTACAAAACATAGTTAATTTAGAACAGACATTGAGTATCACAAATGTGTTGAAATTATAAGACAGGATACAAAGAAGACGAGCAATCATCAAAGAGATGATACACAGCAACACATCAGTTAATTTGTAAATGCTGCCTATGCATCAATGCGCAGATGGAACATCATACGTTCATGTATCAGGTGATCTCTCATGCGACTTCCTGGTGCTCTCAGGTATGGTACACCTTTTCTTAAAGGTAGATTATCACATAAAAATAAAAGCTATAGAAAGGAGTTTAGTAGTCTTAATCTCATATTTCAAGAAACATATTAACATCAACCATAAAGAAAAACTATTAGCATCAATCTTTTTCTCAAAACATTTATTAACTTAGAGAATATTAATATTCTATAAAACATAATTTGGGAATAATTGAGCCAAGAAACTATTAAGAGTTGTTACACATATTTTTAAGAAAGGGATCTTGAAGAATATGTCCCATGGTGGGGGTTGGCAGGGTTTTTTTTTTTTTGTAAAGGGCCATATAGTCTCTTATGCAACTACTCAACTTTGTAGTTGTAACATGACAGCAGCCATAGACAATACATAAAAGAATGGGCACAGGTGTGTTCCAATAAAACTTTAGGTACAAAACCAGACAGCAAGGGCCATAGTTATTAGCTCTGTCTCATGGTATGTAGTATTGTGAAATCTCTTTTAGCTTTCGATGCCTACTGCTATTAGATGTATTAGCTGTTGATACTATTATATATCTGAAGTCCCCTCAGGGCTGTCAACAATTCTGAAGAAGTGAAATAAACATACACACAGTTCCAAGTTTTGCAAGACACGCAATTCTACTTTATCCAAATACCACGTGTTAACAATGCAGAATAAATTGTAGATCAAGAGTTAGGTACTGTTTCTCTGGACTTAAATTATATAAATGTTTATATTATCCAAATTAAGACTCAATGAAAGCAATATATTTTTACAGATTACTCGGCGTTCTATTTATACAACAGGTGAAGACTTAACCAGGACCTAAAGAAAATATAAACTCTCACTTAATAGGTTTATGCCTCATATAATAAAACAAATCATAATTAAAAGGATAACGCAATCTAAGGATTGCTAAAGAATACTATTAGCTCTATAAATTAAGGCATACAAATTATGTCTGCCCAAATATAGCTACTTTAGGTTTAAACTTTATAACCTGGCTGTAGATATAGGGTAAGTTTTGTATTCTCATGTTAGATCCTGAATAAAAAATGGTTCTCCTATTAAAGGGTAGAGGGTAAGATACCTGAAATAAGGCGTTCTCCTTTCTGTAATCCCTCTCTCCACCTTGGCAGCTTGAAACGCACGCTTCAAAATAATAAAAATAAGGGATGGGGTGGGAAGGGGAGTAACCAAAAGCCTAGAATGAGAAAAATTAAAATTAGACACGATAACAAGCAGAACTATAAGCCTGTAAGATGACCAATCTTTCTGGATCTAAGCAGTGCAAACGATTCTTTCCTGCCATGCAGATCTTAGACTGAAACAGAAGACGTCTCGCATAGCAAAAATTCTAACATTTTCATCCTGTTCAATATTCTGGCAATTTAGCTGCTTTGAGATGTTCCCCCATCTACTCACTTCATAAAAATATGTTAAACAACAACACACTTTCAAGAACTTTAAACCTAATTTTTAAAAGTACAGTCGCATCTTAATGTCTCTAAAACTAGGCCTTGAATCTAAAATGGAATTATACATAGAACTATTACAAGAAATAGTCCTTCCACTACAATCACTTTTAGCCCCCCAATAACCAATCTTCTCAGGGAAACAATGTTTAATGAGTGATCATTGTTTATTATATGCCAATAATTGTGCTAAATTCCTCATATAGATGACCTCATCTATGAAGAGACAAGGACTATTAATAACCCCACTTTAGAGATAAACAGACACAGAGACATTAACACATCTCGCTAAGTTAACACCTCTTCTAAGTGAAAAGCCAAGTACAGAACCCAAAAAGTTTGACTGCATAGCCCATGTGTCTAGCCATTACTTGTGTGTTCCTCAATAGTTTTAATACCCCAACTACAAAAAATCTGGTTACTAGCAGTTAAGGCTACACAGAGAAATAGATGAACAGTGGGTTACAACTGCCAGAAAGTCGAGGGTCTCATACTGACAACAGCAGAAAGCCCCACTTCTTATTGGGAGCAAAAAAGCAGATTTTCCTTCCATAGTCTCCATTTGGATTTTGCATCGGAGAACTTTGTGGAGATGCTGGTTCACCTAAGATTAGAATCCCTCTCCCTCGTCGCTAGAGAAGGACACAGAAGAGAAGGAAGCTTTTGTTTTCAGAAAGGAGGTTCTCATCCCCACCTCTTCAAAGGTGATTCCCCAGAATTTCTGGAGGACAAAGAATCTGGACTCCCTTGAGAGTAAAGTTCCCATTCCACTCCCTGAAGAGCGGGTAAAACCTTCGTCTTTGGTTTCCTTCCGGGTAAACTGACAGGTATCACAATCCTTTCCCCCCTTCCCCTCGGGCGGTTCCGGCTGGTAACAATACCCTTAGGGTCAGGAGGGCAGGGTCTGAGTGCAGGTCAGCCAAAAAGGTGGGTACTTCAACACCTAAATGCTTTTCTAAACCGTCACCTGGATGTGCAGCCAGGGCCAACTACCCCTCAGCGCCTCCCTGTCACAGGTGCGCGCTGCCGGCAGATCTCCACGACTGGGAGGCTCGCTACCAGTCGCAGCCCACCCTTGCCTCAGAATTCCTCTCGCGTCCCCGGGTGGCCGCCTCCGCTAACGACCACATGAAAACGTTTCAGCACCCAATACCATCTCTCTACTTCATGTCCATCAGCGATGGAGAGAACGGTCTTCGCCGCGGCTGGGCTGCACAGCAGCGCCGCGGTCCCCTGCTGAGCCCGCGACCGCCATTTTACACAGCTCCGGGAAGCGGCCATTTCAGAGCGCACCGCTTAGCCGCGGTGGCGGCTCTGCTCCTCACCTTCACCGAGGCCTGAACAGGGTCAAGAGCCAGTCGTCGCGGACTGGAGGGGGAGGGGAGAAGGGAAGGGGAATGAAAAACAAAACAGAGGAAAGAAGGATTCGGGGACAGGGTGATGCTCTCAGCTCAGGGATATCGCCTAGGCCACCTCCATAGAGATCCGATTCGCGGCTGGCGCGGTAGCTGGTCTGAAGATAAATTTAGCACGCTAGAGCACCCGAACCCTACAGTCTTCACGAGCGACTTCACCACCGCCCAATCAGCGCCAGATTTGTGCCCCGCCACCAATCCGCGCTGAGCAGCGGGGCGGGACCACAGGAAAGGACCAAGCTCGGTTGAGGCGCGGCCCGACCTCAGCCAAAGCTGCAGGCTCAGCCGCAGCCGCAGCGGTGCTTCCTTGGTGATAACTGAGCGGCTGGGTATGAAGCAATTGTTCTCAAACTTAACTAGCCCGTCGGCTCGGGCACTTGTTGAGAGGGCAGATTCCTGGGTGCCGCCAGATACTGTTAGTGATCTTGTAGGGCTGGAGTGGAACCCATGAATCTGCATTTTCATCATTTCTGGCGCTTTGCCCGGACAGGAGTGATTCATGTGGATTCGCAGTGCCCCAAAGGAGCACGCAGAGCCTCGATTGCTGTGCATTCGCCTCCTCTTTTGTTCCCTAGGCCGCACCCCAGGCCCGGTTTACACAGCCGCCGCCTGCTTTCCTTGGTTTTCAACTGGACTCTGGGAAGAAAACTCGCCCTTTCCTTCGCCGTCCCACACCCGACTTCTGAGTGTCTGGGGGCCTGGCCGGCCTGTGCCGAGGGCTGAGTCCGACCAGCGGGCGCGGATCCGGCGCAAACCCCGCCGGACCTCTTGGGTGGCCCGGGGTGGGCTGGGGAGCCGCGGTACAGGACTGGTAGGGAAAGGGGCACCGCAGCGTCCACTGGAAAGCTGAAAGTCCGCTTGATGTCTTTGCATCTCACAGTGGCGCCCTTCCCGCAGGAACGTCCGGCCGACTGCACAGAACGGTTGCCTGCAGGGAAGGTCCAACCCGCTCTGGAATACTCTTTTTGTGGGCTGCAGCTTTCTGGTATTTTAAGCCATGGTTCTGTGCCTTTCCCTGTTTTCAAAAACACCACGGCCAAAGGCTGCGGATTGTGTGCTTTCATTTTGGATCTGTGGTGGAGACCTAGAGTCTGTTTTTCCAAATAGGCACCTTGAAATAGATACGCTTCTGAAGGGGGGAAACTACGAGTAGGTCCCATTATTTGTAATATTTTAGCCTTTCCAGACTCCGTAGAAATGACTAAATGAAGATTGGACCTTATTTTCAGGCACTGCACCAATGACAGAAAATTCCCAACTTGGGGTCAAAAGCAAGGGCAGCTTTCCTTTTTCTTAAATACGCTTCTGATCAAGTATCTAAGGAGCCTAATTCTTAATAACACGATTTACAGGACTGTGCAATTTCCTAGGACAGACATTTAGTTCCAAATGTTTTAAAGTCATTTACAACATCATCTCACCCTATAGTAAGTTGTCCATATGTACTCATTATTATTTTTAAATTATTCGTATTAAATCATTTTCATTTAAACTTTAACCATAAATGCATAAATCGTTTTTGGGAAGGGGGCACAGTCTTACTTGAAGAGCAAAGAATTTTATTTTGTAATTGCAGTTGTCTCGCTTCAGAATAATATTGGAATAATCTCATATTTTCATGTTTCATATATTAGAAAAACCATTTACGTATATGCTCCCAAACTGGTCTTGACACATCTAGTTTACATCTTCATAAAGAGGGAAAGCCCAAAACATTAAACTGTTAGGCAGAATAGTGTTTAAATAAGTTCATCTAAAGTTTAGGACTTAGGTCCTGATATGATTTGGCTCTGTGTGCCTACCCAAATCTTTTCTCGAATTTTAAGCCCCACATATGGAGGGATTAAAGTGATTGGATTATGAGAATGATTTCTCCCATGCTGTTGTGATAGTGAGTGAATTCTCACAAGATCCGATGATTTTTATTAATGGTAGTTTTTCCTGCGTTCTCACATGCTCTCTCTCTCTCCTGCTGCCATATAAGACCTGCCATGTAAGACCTGCCTACTTCCCCTTCCTCCATGATTGGAAAACTTCTTGAGGCCGCCCCAGCTATGGGCAACTGAGTTAATTAAACCTGTTTCCTTTATAAATTACCCAATCTTGGGAATTTTTTTATAGCAGTGTGAGAATGGATTAATACAGGGCCCCAAATCTGAAGTGTCTGATAATTAAGGTTCATGAAACAAGAACTTTTTTTGCAATCGTTTTGTCAAATTATTATGGAATGTTGATGAGACAGATAAGAAAAAATAGACAATGTAGAACTCTGACCAATAATACGTAGCTAGCATTTATTGAATACATAATGTAGACCAGGGAGCTATTGTATACACATTTTTTTTTTTTTTGAGGCAGGCTCTCAGCTCCATGCAACCTGGAGTGCAGTGGCAAGTTCTCAGCTCCATGCAACCTCAACCTCCCGTGCTCAAATGATCCTCTGACCTCAGCTTCCTGAGTAGCTGGGACTACAGGTACGTGCCACCATGTCCGGCTAATTTTTGTATTTTTTCGTAAGGATGGGGTTTCACCATGTTACCCAGGCTGATCTTGAACTCTTAGGGTCAAATGATCTGCCTGCCTTGGCCTCCCAAAGTGTTGGGATTACAGGTATGAACCACCAGTTCTGGCCTATACACTTTTAAATGTATTAAGTATTTACTGTTCACAACAACTTTATCAGATGATTAACATTATTTTACAGATAAGGAAATTAAGCACGAAGAGGTAAATAACTTGCCCCAGTTCCAAGAACTAATTAGTGGCAGAACCTGGATTAGGTAGGTGTGATGCTGGTTGTGGGAACTACAAACTGTGTTTATGTGCATACTTGATTTATATTAAGCAGAAAACTACTGTGAATAAGATTACAGTAATATATTAGGTAGGGAAGTTGAGCCTCACCATTAAAAAGGACCCAGTACCTCTCTCAGTTCTTGGAAAAAACAAAAGACTCAGTTTGTTAACCTGTGGCTCAAGTCAAATAATGGCTGGAAGTAGTAACAAGAATTTTGACTGATACCCCAAATTTGCAGCCTCAGTTGCTGTAGGACATCTGAGATAACAATTCTGTTCATGTTGGTTTTATGAGTTAATTTGTGTTGCACTAGGTTTTCCAGAAGCAGATGATCAGAGAGAAAATTATGAAGCCAGTATTGTAGGTCACAGTGTATCACCCCTTACCTTTATATACTCCTCCCTCCCTCCCTCAATTACTAGACATGGGCTGCCCTGGGAAGGGCATGACTGCAGCTGAGGCACACCCTGAAAGAGCCAACAAGAGGTGGCCATCTGCCGATCGTACTACCTGCTCCTAAGCAGGGCAGAGTACTTGCTTGAAAGAGTATCTGAGTGGTGCATTTTCATGTTGACCACAATTTGGAACCTTTAATATAAAGATGGCAAATTAATATAGTTTCATTATTTTTGTGAAAGTTCTCATTATTGGGGTGTTTTGTGCTTTGTCAGCCTTCAAGATGTATGAAACATTTAAGGGAATTTCATGACCACCCGTATGATTGGTTTATTGGTATTAGATTTGCAGGAGTTATGTGTTTATAAAAATTTCACTGGCTAGATGTTAGATGTATTACATTTGTAATTGTAGTTTAAAATGTCTAAGAAAATGAGATTAGTTGATTATGCAAATGATGTTAAATATTTAAAGAATATTTAGTCTGTTAACGCTTGTGAATTAATTAAACCATAGCAGAGCATAAGTGAAAGGGATTGTCCATGTTTTTATGCAAAAATTATGAGATTTATAAATAGACTAATAGTATACATTGAGTTTGAAGGCTTGTGAAATACAATTTTACAGTTTCAATATATTTTGCCTATGAATAAACAAACTAATGTCAATTATTAATTTTTTCTTTTTTTTTTGAGATAGGGTTTCACTTTGTCATCCCGGCTGGCGTACAGTGGTCCATCGTGGCTCACTGCAGCCGTGACCTCCTGAGCTCAAGCAATCCTTCACCTCAACCCCACCAAGTAGCTGGGACTACAGGCGCTGGGCATGTACTACATACAGGCATATACTACACCATGCCTGGCTAATTTTTTTTGTATTTTTTGTAAAGATGGGGTTTATCCATGTTACCCAGGCCTGTCTCGATCTTCTGAGCTCAAGCAATCCTCCTGCTTCAGCCTTAAAGTGCTGGGATTACAGGTGTGAGCCACCATGCCTAGCCATGTCTGACTCTATTGCTTGATAGGCCCTATCGATATGACAGTGTGATTGCCTCTGACATCCCAAATCTTATGGAGAAAGCATGTTCCCTCAACTTTATTGGAAGAAAGGTTTCATTCAAATTGGCTTATGTCTGTGAAGTAAATACATTGGCCAGTCAAGGAATGCTCTGAATGGCCAACTTGTTGGGACACGTATCTCCTTCAGTTTTGAGGATATGAGTTTGCTATGTCACAAGAATTTCATGGAGTGGGTGAGTGACCAGTGCCTAAAAGGAAGGGATTGTGGGCCGATGGAAAAGTGGGAGATACATACTAAATTTCCTTTTCTTGCCTGTCATATTTGATCAGCTACCACGAAGTCCTTGGGCAGGCATGGTGGCTCATGCCTGTAATCCCAGCACTTTGGGAGACCAAGACAGGAGGATTGCCTGAGCCCAGGAGTTTGAGACCAGAATGGGCAACTTGGTGAGACTCCATCTCTATAAAAATAAAAAATATATAAAATAATAGTAAAATAATATATAATAAAAATAAAATAATAATAAATATATAATAATAATGAAAAAGTTCTCAATTGTTCTAATCTCTTAGACCAACTTTTCTCTCCAATTCCTCTGCCATCAATCTAGATTTACTATTAATTTCCTTAACCAATCTCCTAGCTACCAGCCAATTTCTATCAAATTTATCCTGTACACAGAAAAGCACTTTACCTAAAATACAGACATTAAAGTCTTTTTTTTGCTTTTTTTTTTTTTTTTTTTTCAGATGGGGTTTCACTTTACTCAGGCTGGAGTGCAGTGGTAGCATCATGGCTCACTGCAGCCTCAACCTCCTGGGCTCAGGTGATTCTCCCACCTCGGCCTCCTAAGTAGCTAGGACTATAGGTGCACACCACCATATGAGCCTAATTTTTATATTTTTTTGTGGAGATGAGGTCTCATCATGTTGCCTAG